GAGAGAGAGAGAGAGAGAGAGAGAGAGAGAGAGAGAGAGAGAGAGCACTGACAGTGCTGCCAGTCTGAAGACTGACGTTCTGAATTGAACTGCAAGTTCGAACTTTTAAGTTATATATGAAGTTATGAACTTAAATTACTAAATCCAAAGTTCAAAGTTCAAAGTTAATCATACTTTTTTCAAAAAAAAATTCTCTGTTTCTTTAGTCTTGTGCCTGCTTTGCACTGTTTGCAACTCTGCATGTCTGCTAGTTAAATGTGCTGGTTGATTTGCTGCAAGACACGTGCTCTGCTGCCTGAACTGCGGAGTGCAAAGCAGGTAAGTGCCTGCCAACACACCCCCCTTCCCCACCTCTGTTTTTTTTTTTTTTTTTTTTTGGGCCTGGACATTTTTTTTGGGTCCGGACCTTTTTTTTGGGTCCGGACATTTTTGATGTCCGGTGTCCGGTGATGTCCGGATCACCGGACAGTCCGGACCGGTCCAGACACTGGTCTGGAAGACAGTCCGGAAGTGTCCAGTGTCCGGGTCCGGGCTTACCATGGTTTAGGGTAAGGGTTCAAAGTTAGGGTTTATGTCCTTCGGGACATCAGTTAAAATTGGAACGATACAGAGAAGATTAGCATGGCCCTGCGCAAGGATGACACACATAAATCGAGAAAAAAAAGGAAAAAAAGTTAGGGTTTACGATTAAGGTTTGGGGTTTAGGGTTTACGGTTAGGATTCAGGGTTAGGGTTTAGGAATTCTTCTAGAGTATTTGTGCACATTTTACAAGTGGGTGAAACCACTAATAGAACACGGAATGGGATCTGGGTCTAGGACCTGGGGCTCAGGACTGGGACCTGGAACTCAGGACTACGATCTGGGACTCGGGACTGGGACCTGGGACGCTGGTACATCGTGAAATCCTTTCAGTTAGCACGAGTTTCAGGTTTAGGGTTCAGGGTTTGATGTTTACGGTTTAGGGCTCGGTTCCTTCCAATGCATAGGGCATGCTCCAAGCCAGTCTTTGGGTCTGCAAAATCCTTTCGGATGGACACACTCGGACAACAGAGATTACGTTAGGGTCTAATTTTTAGGGTTCAGGGTTAGGGTTAACGGTTTAGTGTTTAGGGCTTAGGGTTCAGTTCCTTCCAATGCATAGGGCATGCTCCAAGCCAGCCCTAGGGTTTGCTAAATCCTTCAGATGGGCTCACTCCAACAACAGAGGATTTAGGTTTTGCGACTGAAGACAACAGCGATTTGACGAATGGTGACAATGACTAAAAACAACTACCACCGTCACCTGGAATAGAACACCCGGTCATTCTTGGTGTATAAAGACTGAAAAGTGGTCCAAATACAGATATTATGACCGTACGTTGTCTTTGGGTGAATACGGTAGTATAGGCGAAAGAGAATTGTCACATCTGTGTGCAAAGGATTGAGGGGTGGGAGAGTGGGGACGAGAGGGGGGAGAGGAGGGGTGGGGGGAACAAGGTTTTTTAAGGAAGAAACGAAGGACAGCAGGTTATTGTTACACTGGGCCAGTCCACACTAGGATTTTTTTTTTTACTGCACAAGGCCGCTGAAACGGTTTTCACCTTTTTGCAGTAACAGATGCGGACCCCAGGGCCCGATCTCTAGTCCTTACCTTACCTGTGTATACTACCTGTGTCGAACCCGAGAGTTGAACCCGTGACCTGTGTATTCGTAGCAGTTGGTAGGCTGTCGTAGGGTCCGTAGGTGATGGGGGTTCGATCTGTAGATCTGTAGAATAGAAGTCTAAGTGAGTTCCAGAAGTCTTAGCTGTAGTCCTCCTAGAAGGTCGGCAAGTGGGCAAGTGGTCAAGTGGTGAGCCAAGTGGTGGACTAACTGCAGTGCGATTGCAGTACGACCTCGGTGAGTCCCCATTCAGTCAGTGGTAAGGTCCAGTCAGTCCCGGTCCGGTCCAGCAAGTACCACGAGGGACTGTGAGCACCATGGGCCGATGGAAAGGGGCAGACCAACGAGCTTCAGAAGTATAAATCAAGTGGCAGTGCCCAGCCATTCATTCATTCCTGCATGAGCCATGCGGAAGCGCTGCCACAGCGACTTGTGCAAGGAGGTCTGCAGTGAGCCCGGAGCTGAAGTGGGCGAGAGAGGTGGAGCGTAGCATAGCGATAGGGTAGCTGCGGCCATAGCCGCCATAGCTAGAGTAGTATTCAGCGTGTGTGTGTGTGTGCGAGTGTTCAGAGTGAAGCGTGTGGGATATCCAGGGTGATCCGGTGTGTACGAACAGAGAGTTGTTTGGGCGCTAAGTCGCCATAGTCATTGGAAGTGAACTCTTATCTGGGTTGCCATATCTCTGAGTTTTGAGTGGGCGCAGGTCGCCAGTTTGCTGCGTTACTGTTTGTACAGATGCAAAGTGTGAATGAGAACAAGTCTGATTGCACCTCAACTCCATTCAGATACATTGAGGAAAGTCCTAATTTGCATACGCCCTCACTGATGGAGATCAGAATGGTTTCTGGAAAGAGAGAACAAAACAAAAGTGACACATTCCATTTCTACCATCTTCACCCAAATAGAAGGCCCGGTCATTGCATCGAGACTGAAAGTTGCACCAAATCCAGCTATAATGACTGGCCGTTCTATTCGGGTGAAGACGGTAGTCTTTATACGCTAACAATTAAAGAAAGAGAAGCGAAAATGAAAGGGTTTCACCCAGTTCGCGCAATATTGAAGATACCATTTGATCGCCAGACTTTCCCTACCCCACTGTATAGTTGCTCGTGGACCCTGTGTGCTTTGAACCCACGACCTGTCCCTAAAACCGTATACAAATGTTTTGTGTGTGTAGCTTAGGCCGTGTGGATTTGACCCGTGGATTAGTTGTTTAGGAGTCTTAACGGTCGTCTGTAAGTTTCCTAAAAAGGCAAATTCACAGTTGATCTTTCAGAAGGTCAACGGGCCATACGTCCTCTGAAGGGTCAGTAGGTTGTGGCTAGAACAGTGCTCAAAGAGCCAACTTGACCTCTCGCAGGTTGAAAGGGCAGTCCATCGATCTCTGAAAGGTCAAGAGTCCCAAGTCAAACACTGAAGGGGCAAGCAAAAAGGCAGTCCCAGTCCAGTCCGTTTTGCTGCAAATACCAGAGTGGGCCTGCACATCTTGAGGGCCTGGGACATCGGGCAGGCCCAGACCACCAAACGAAACAGTATAAGTAAAGAGGCAGCGACCAGTCAGTCACTCGTTACCTGGGGATCTACGTGGAAGCGCTGCTCGAGTGACTTGTGCGTTGAGTTCACCGGTGGTCAGCGAGAAGCCCGAAGGTGGAAGAGGGTGAGCGGCCATAGCTTCTAGGAGGAGGAAGACGACGGTGGTCGTAGCTGCCTACGTGTAGAACTTAGAAGATAGTGTGTGAGCGTGAGTGCAGACATTCAGGGTAGATCCAAGTGTTGTTTGCGTACCTGGGGATCTACGTGGAAGCGCTGCTCGAGTGACTTGTGCGTTGAGTTCACCGGTGGTCAGCAAGAAGCCCGAAGGTGGAAGAGGGCGAGCGGCCATAGCTGCTAGGAGGAGGAAGACGACGGTGGTCGTAGTTGCCTATGTGTAGAAGTTAGAAGATAGTGTGTGAGCGTGAGTGCAGACATTCAGGGTAGATCCAAGTGTTGTGTGCGTACGTGCGTGTGAGTGTGTCTGATGGTGGATAGAGTGTTCGGGTGGGAATTCCAGACTGGCGCTCAGACGCCATAGCCATGCGATGTGACAGGTTGTTTTGAGCTGAGTTCCTGGCCGAAGGCCATATCTCTGAGTTTTTGTGTGGGCGCACTGCGCCATCTCAGGTTGGTTGCTGATTCTGCATCTGTGGAAGTTTCTGTTGCCATCACCAGCTGCATGTATGCATGTTGAACGTGAGATGAAGACAAGTCTGATTGCAAAAAGAATGCATGCCATTTTTTGTCCTTCAGGACATCCGTTAAAATTGGAACGATACAGAGAGGAATAGCACGGACCCTGCGCAAGGATGACAAGCATAAATCGAGGAATGGTCCAAAAAGAAAAAAAGAGAACACATGCAGTTTTAGTTTGAAAGTTAGAAATTCAGAAAAAGGAAAAAAACGAAGGAAGAAAAGCAGATAAGAGCAGTAATCGAGAACTCACTGATGGAAACCAGACTGGTTTCCAAGTCTGCTGTCGCCACCTTTACGACCGCTTCAGCATCTACGCGCCCTTCCAAATCGACAGGAACAACGGTCTTGCAAAACCCTTCATTCTGGCAAAGGTGATTGATCACTTCGGAAACTGCCGGGTGCTCTATTGAAGAGGTGACAAGATGCTTTCCTTTCATTCGTGAGTTGGCTTGAGCGCCACATCGAATCGCCCAATTGTTCGACTCAGTGCCGCCGGAAGTGAACACAACCTTTCCCACCGCGCCCCCCCCCAAAAAAAGAGAGAGAAAACAAAGGCCAAAGAAGTTCCGGAGACGGAGAAAGTAAATCAAGACAAGATTCAGAGATATAAATATGTTATGACCCTGCCCAATTCTTGATGCACAGCTCAACTTTGAGTGAATCCCATTCATTTCAATTCAAGACAAAGTAGAATGAGATGACGAAGAGAAAACAGTGAAGAATGACGACCACGAGGAAGACGAAGAAGAAAAAGAAGAAGAACACAAGAGTGGACCAACATCTCCTCACGTCTTCTCTCCACCTCCATCGCCATCCCTCCTCCTCCTTTTTAGTATACAATACAATCACATCGAATGAAATGAATGAATAAGAATCAATGTCCAAAAGATCCCCTTACTGCCTTCATAGAAAGATAAGCCCTTTAGCTCTCTCTCTCTCTCTCTCTCTCTCTCTCTCTCTCTCTCTCTCTCTCTCTCTCTCTCTCTCTCTCTCTCTCTCTCTC